AAAAAAAAAAACAACCAAAAAAAATAATTACCCAGTAACATATTTCTTTTACACCCTTCACCCTACCTTCTTAAACTTGTCCCATAATTCATTCATAAATACACAAAAGTTTTCAAAAAACGTGTAAATTCTTTTCTATATTTTCTATAAATATATACGTGTGAAACAAACAAAAAATCAAAACAAAAGAAACTAAAAACAAACAACTCAATAGTCAAAAGACATTAATGTAAAATGTTGACAGAATTGTTTTGTTTTTAAACCTGCCCCGCCCCTCCGAAAAAAACAACAACGACAAACAAACTACGACCAGGCTTATAACTCCAAAAGCTGCAGTAGCCTAAAACAAACAAACAAACAAACAAAAACAATCAAACAACTAAATAAAAAAGACAACCAAAATATTAAAAATCAAAAAGAAACAAAAAATCAGGTAGAATGAAAATAGTTTGAACACAGAGCCGAGCTCGAGAGATTAAATATGATGTGTACACGGCATTCCATACTATATATGGGTGGGATGTCGCTGTAGGATTATTATAGTAACAATTTCAGGACGGATTTCTGATGTGGGTGGGCTTTTCCTCAAGTATGGGACGCCGTTTGTGTCATTATATTATTATATATACAGTAATTCTATCTCCGTGTTGTGTCATAAGCCATAGCAGTAAAAACTCAACCGGCGCTTAGTTCAACGCGTGGATTTCATGCTGACGGACGAGAATTCACAACAAACTTTATTAAATAAAAGAAGAAAAAGAAAATAAAAAAAACGAGAAAAGACATTGGGATTTCATCATAAATAGCACAATATTAGTATAAAAACACTCGGACGATTTCATGATAAAAATAGACTTTAAAAAAGGATTTCCCATAGATTTATATAATCTTAGACTGCGTACTGTGACGAGTTTTTGTTTCAAAATGGTGCGATCTTTTAGAACCAAATGATAGGTAAAGGAGGCGGGTTGTTGCAGGGTGCTACTGGTAGGTCCTACTTTTCCACTTTCCCTCTGTTGTTTCTGTGAGTCCGTCTTACTTGTTCCAGCACTAAATGACCATTATTGTGTCCACGTGATTCTCTTTAAACAGAGAAACAAACAGACAAACAAACAAACAAAGGGCAAAGGACAAAGATGCCACGCCCACTTTGTATCATAGCAACGCGGGTGTTTTGACTTCCTTTTTGAGTGTAAGGGCACGGTCCATGATGTGAACCCTTTGCAGCGAAATTTCCATTGGCGGCAAAGTTTTCAGAGAGAGAGAGAGAGAGATAGAGAGAGAGAGAGAGAGAGAGAGA